TAACCTCTTAAAAAATATTTATTGAAAAAGTTGAAGCTTGATTCAAATAAATTAATTTTGTTTCAAATTTCTCAGTGAACACAATACAATTGATTCTTTATTAGACTAATTCTCCATATAATAATATTTAATAATATTTTAATTATATCAAAATTTCTGCCCAATTGTTTTTTATTCCACTTCAATTACCATATAATAATTTGACTTCTACATCTATATATTATTAAAGTTGAAAACAACTTCCCCAAGTATATATATAATTTGGGTTTTACTTTAATTATATATTGTGTTTAACATGGGTAGTCATTATATTATATTTAGAGTGGGTTTTGCAAATTGATTTTATTTACTTCATTATTCTTAGATAAATGTATTTATTAATAATGAACAAGATATAAATGATTTTAGATAAATAATTTTCTTAATAATAATTACAAAAATATCAAGAATTATAAATAATTACAAATTGATTTGTTTCAACTTGATAATGAATAGATCAATTTAAAAGACTAATTTGAAAAGTATAAAATAAGTTTTAAACAAATCACCTAAGTGTAAGTTGGAAGTAAAATCACCTATAAAAGAACTCAAAATAAAGAAAGAGCCTCTACAAAAAACTTAAAAATATTTTAACATTTTTTTTATCAAAGGTCTAAACAATACAATAAGGGAGTTATTAAAAAACAATAGTATAGTAGATGGTTAAGAGAAGAAGGAATAATAATAAATAAATTATTAGTATATATATATATAAAGAGATGAGGGTGAATTGAGGTAGATTGATAAATATAATAATAAAATATGTGAGGGTAAATTAAGAGATGACATTGTAAGAAAATTAATAAAAGGTGGAGTATAAATAATTGAAAAGGTACCAAGGGAATAGTACTTATAAGTTATGGTATGTCTTTTTATATTTTGATTTACAACCCTTTAATATGAACATTGAGACAAATTGGTGTAAAATAGAGATATATAATAGTAATAATTATAGATTTGATGAACCATTTTATTATGATTATTTCAAAAAATTTTAATTGATATGAAAGTTAAATATATAATTTATAACAAAATAATAGGAGGGGTCCATTTACACACTTTTGTTATTGTTGTGGTAGGAGGTTGATGAGTCAATAGTAGAGATGATATGGAGGTTGACTAGGATGCCCCTTGAAGATGAGAAGGGTTCTTTTGGTTTGCACTCGTTTCATGTGCAAAAGGCTACGTGTTATGAGTCGTCTTCCCTTTTCTTCTTTGATAAGAACGAATTGCAAACTTTCTTTAGCAAAGTTTGGAAATAAAGGTTCTGCAGCTAAGTTGAAAGAGTGAAGTGATGATGGTGCTCCCAAGATCACAATTACACAACCACAAAAAGAGATAGATGGTTGAGTTGCATTGCAGTTATAGTAGCATAGATAAAAAATGTAAAAATCAATTTCTACAATAAAATAAACATATCTATATGCAATATGTTGTAGAGTAGACGAAATATGAAGTAGATATGCTCTTTACTCTCTTCAACAAATATATGAACTCCAAAGTAAAAAAATTTTAAGTTAGAGTTCAAAGTATAATAATTTCCTTCTCCAGATTTATGCACACAAGTTCTAGATTTATGCACACAAGTAGAAAAAAACTAGAAAGTAGTGATGGGTGAAGGGAGAATAACCATTGTAGGGGTTTTTGATGGAGAACTTAATCTCGTTTATTGATGGTAACATTGTTGTTGATTGATTCCTTGATGCTCAATAAGAATAACCTTGAACCTCAACTTATGGTCCTTCAATAATTATTTTTGCTATCTAACAAGTTATAATAAATGTTAACTATTAAAATTAAAGAGATGAATAATTAAAATTTTATATAAGTATAAGGTATAAGATTTACATGTAAACAAATTTTTATTCTTAATTAAAAATTAATTTCAATTGTAAATTAATATTGTTATATTTAATAATTACTAAAAAAATATAATGCAAAAAAACCGCAATTTTAAAACTTAATTTTTATTTAAAGTTAATAAAATTTATAAAAATCAAAGTAAAAAATAAAGAACTATAACCATAATAAATAGACCATGTTAAACCAATTTGGGTTTTGCTTTAGGTTTAAATCCCATCTAAATTTGGTGGAAAAGATTCCGGAATGACGTCCTGTACGGACTCTTTTTTTTGGGTAGAAATGTCATGTACGGACTTCGTTAATTCAATATAGATTTTTTTGCCCATTATATCAAATTTAATTTAGATTAATGATAGGTGGGTGCTTACACTTTTTTTTGGCCAAAATCACAGGTCCTCGTACTTTTAAAAGTAGCCATTTTGGTTTTGATTCTCTAACTCTCTCATCTCGGTATATCTTTCTCATAAATTCGATGGTAATGACTAATTAATTGTCATGTAGACTCAGAATGACTATTTTTACAACATTTTGGAAAATAATATAATTATAATATTATGTAAAATTATAAATTTATGATATGATATATTATTATATAATATATTTTTTTCATTTAAAAGTTCATATATAATATTATATATATTTATTTATTTAATGACATTTTATACTTATTTAACCACATTATAATTATAAATTTATAATATTATATAATATTATAATTATAGTATTGCCCAGAATTTTAAGGACCTTTAGTATCATTAATACTTCTCAAAATCGTTGAACAATGAACATATTGATTTGTGTCCATCCTGAATGCCAACCCAAACTTGGAGCATTTCCATTGAAGAGACTCAACAAGAGTCTCTCAAATGTCACACAATCACAATTCATATAATTTTATTTATTTTACATTAAAAAACTTTAAGAAAGACCTCCCTCTAAAATAGAGACTTAAGTAAGACTATACTTTCTTTATATCAAAATAATTATCATTTTTTTACTTTAAATTTTTTCAAATTAATTGTCAATTTTTTAGTATTTTTTAAGTTAGATAAATATTTTTTTCTTACTTTAATTATATCATTATCTAGTTACTTTGACTAATTATTTTATCACAAAAAGTTTGATTTTATTTTTTAGATTTTTTTAAAGAATGATACGGAAAAATACATAAATTTTCTCCAAAATTTTAATTTAAAAAAATTAAAAAACAATTATATTTTATGACAAAGAATGTTAGTTTATTTTATCTACATTTATATTGAAATTAAAAGTGAGTCACAAATTGAAAAGATATAAAAAAAAAAAAAAAGGCATAATGAAGGGACCCCACGTTAGCCCAGGATTTTTTTTTTTTTTCTTAATGAGATACCGTCCCCCTGCATCTCTGCCAATGGACGCCCTAAGTTTCATTTAGCTTGAGAAGGTATCATCTTGAGAACAAAGGTTGAATTGGCATTTCATTCCAGTCAATTACCATGCACCTGAAAATTATAAGCCATTTACTAATTTGCTATGTTAATCTTTATATGTAAGACTTCTAAAAAATTAAAAAGAAAAACACTCATATATTGTTTCAAAAATATCTTACTATAAAGAATTAAAATAACTTATTTTTAAAATAAAAATAAGACTTGTTTGGGCAGCTTCGAGATCCAATACGGTAGATACTTTTAATTGCTTCAACACTTGAAATTCCCAATAATGTTTCATCGAGAAAAACATTCCAACGCTCAAGTTAACAATACTCAATATTCTAGAAAGAGATGCTCTCAAAGAGTAATTACAGAGAGAGAAGCATAGTGGAGTTAATACCTTGCATGGAGGTAGTTGGGGGTATTTATAGCCCCATGTACTGACATGAGCCTACATGTGTATGCATCCCATTGGTCCACGTGTCATTGCCCATGTGGGTATTTCTCCCCCATTTTGGACACTGCCCGAATAGGATGTTGGGCCCAATCCCAACATTACTCCCCCCTCAGTGTTCGGTTGACAAACCGGGTTGAAAGTTCCAGTAGTGCAACGTTCGACCTCGAGAATGAGGGGTAAACATCTTTGGATTTTAATGAGTGACCTCGCCCATGGCTAAACTAGGCAACTTGAATTCAAGGCGACCTCATTGGGTGTCTATGGGTATGCCTTCTTCTTATCGAATGTGTGTAGGCGGGCTGCTGTCGAAACAATCTTACGTGAGTTCAGTGTTCATCAGCGAGTTCAATGAGCTCGTAAAGGCGAGCTCGTAAGATGGATTTCCAACATCCAAATGAGGTAGATCTAAGAAGAGATAAGATCTCTTGGCAAAGCGTGCATCATATATAAGGTACAACATGTTATGTAGCAAGCTCGCCTATAGTAATGTGAAGGCGAGTAGGCGTCAGACAAGCTAAGCCACTCCAGCCTTTCAAAAATTTGAAATATTGAGGTCGTCCTACTATTACAAGAATAAGCTAAAACAACACTGATAGAATGTGAATACCAAGCCGAATTGAAGTAAGCGACTTCAATCGTCACAATAAAGTAGATCCCTAGGCTATGGAACAAATTTGAAAAGATTGGTAACGACCTAATCTCTAGTATTTTTCAAAATTCAAAACTGGGGTGAATCTCTGATTTGTTACGACCTGATCCCTCAAGATTTTTCAAAGTTTAAACTGAGGTTTGTTACGACCTGATCCTTTGAGATTTTTCAAAGTTGATTGAGGTGAATCTTTGATTTGTTACGACCTGAACCTTTGAGATTTTTCAAATTTTAAAATAAGGCAGATCTCTGAAGAGATAAGCTCAGGGCATTTGGTATTCTTCTACCAACGGAAGATATCCTTCAACCTTTCCGCAATAAATGTTGGCTCAACATTTGAGGGGACGTGACAGCCGTAAGCGGCGGGTTTTGTGCACTCAACCGTAAATGATTGCCACGTGTATGCGTTTAATTGATAGGCCAGAAACACGCGTACGACATTTATGGGAGTGAGAAAGGCAACATAAACATTCACTTAGCCATTTCTCTGTTTCATGGCATAGTACCGTTTGTCATTTTTCACAACGAAGGTTGTAGAGGTGTTTCAGGCTCATTCCTCAAGATTCTACAGTGAAAGGACATCAGCTTTCTAAAACTCAGGTAAAAATGGATTTTTTTCACAGTGTAAGAGAGCTTCGAGGTAGCCAGGGGAGAGACGAAGAAGAGGGTGTTATACCGGTGGAACGATTAGTATGATAGTGCCGCCGGCACTACAGGATGTACCTGAAACCATCGCGCTGGAGAGCAGCATTAGTTCGAGTGTCGATGGTGACTCTGACAACCATTGTTCTTCAACTTCTAGAGATTTGTCTACAGAGGGGACACCCAGTGACATGAGGGATGTTGAAGGAAGAGCTTTAAGTCCGCCAACGACAAATATGGAGGCGGACATGGTTGTATTCGAAGAATGGGAGAATAAGGTTATTAGCGGGAGATTGGATAACCTTCATAAAGCACCAAAAACTCTCCCTATCAATTTTAGGTTCGGGGCGGCACTGCATCATGAAGTTGCGTTTAAGTCCGCTGGCAACAAAGATGGAGGCGAACGTGGTTGTAATCAAAGAATGGGAGAATAAGGTTATTAGCGGGAGATTGGATAACCTTCGTAAAGCACCAAAAACTCTCCCTACTGGTTTTAGGTTCAAGGCAGCATTGCATCATGAAGTTGCAGACGGCTCGACCACGGTGAAAAGGTATAAAAAGTTAGAGGAAATGCTCATTTTTGTTCATGACACGCGAACAGAGAGGATGAATAACGAGCTTGCTGCCCGTCTTTCTGAATGGCGAACACCTAACATGTACATGAACTATCCTCAACTGACTCCTTGAGATGTCGACCTGAAGAATCGGCTGTTGGATTACGTTAATGTTGAGGGTTTAGTAGACTTAGAAGCCCTGGTTACCCCAGAGCAGCTCGAATTACTTGGGTTTGTCGACGTGGCAAACCTGTATATTGAAGGTATATTTCTATTGCATACTGTAATTTCTAGTTGATCTGAGTTTTATGCATTTATTTGTGTAGGAGAAATGAGCAACATATAAGAGAGACAAAGTCAACAAGCACAGAACTCTAGAAACCAGGGGGTTGGGTTGGGCTCCCAGAGGTAGACTCATTTTGATGAGCGTCCACCTACGCCATCTCGCAACTCATCCCAAAGAGAGCGAGGCTCAAGCTCAGTGTCCAGATCCAAAGCCGAGCAGAGAGTTCAAACTCAACCTTCAGATTCTCAAAGGTGTGCTCGTGATGACTCAAATGCAAAGGATGACATTCCCTTCATTCGGAGGAGGACGAGCTCAAGGGCTCAGCTCGTTT